TGGTTGGATTAACACGTTTATAAATATAAATAGTTCACACTTTTGGGGAAATACATAGCCTCACTTTTTGGACGAGAGTTAGATGAGAAGTTCGATACCAATCTGATGTGTGTAAAGTAAATACCAGACTACAGCATAGTCAAGAAACGGTCACACACATTACTGCCATTGAAACTCCAACTTGTCATTTTTGACACTTCAGTTTTTCATTCAATCTTTGGATGGTTAGCTTAGCTCAGCACAAAGAGCTGCCTTGCTCCTTTAGGAGACTAGCAGCAGGTCTGAGTCTATTAACTACAATGATAGAAGTGAGCGTGGACACAGATTATGACAGATTATTTCGCTTCACACTAAATATTGGACCCATTTTCCACAAGCCACATCTTCCGAACACTCCGACACTAAAATGGTATTTTTTCAAGGACACAAATCAGGAGAAAGGTTTGAGACCTGAGTCTGTCTCAGCAAAACACTAAATGCTAAGCTTGGCTAACTGGCTGCCTGCTCCAGCAAGACAACAATTTAGCTTATTTCTGAAAAAAATGTGAAACCTTTTCTTTAAAAGCTGCAAGATACGAGATTGGGAGCGGTTCAATTGCCTCTCAAAAGCTCTCGCAGGGTGTAGGCAAGTCCGCGGATCAATGCTAATGGTGCTATTAGCGCTAACAGTGCAAACAATGGTGAAAGTGCCAAGAGAGCTAACAGTGTACCTGAGGGGGAACAAGATGGTGGCAAGTAAACATTACTCCACTATATCTTTACATTGCAAATAGTTGTTTGCTGCTATGATGTTCAGAGTGTTAAATACAGCTCCTTTAAAATTTGGCCTAGACAATATAGGTTGGTGCTTAAATAACCAGGCAACCCTTTTGAACACACATTCAACTGCAGTAGGATCAGAGAGCAGTTTCGACTGTACTTGACTTCCAAACATCCGCTCTGAGACCAGACAGCCATAGGACGTTACTGTGAGGCTAATACAAACTAGTGATCCGTGTGAAATCGTGGAAAGCGCTTTTACAGTATACTGCATAATGTGCTGACTCATGCCACCCCTCTCATTCTCTCCGGCACACACACACCCCGAGTAACCTGTGTGAGGAAGCGAGAGAGAAATATTGGCGGATAATTTATTTTATGAAACAAAGAACGTTCACCGTCCAGTTCTCCAAAATCATAGATAATGTACTGATGAGTAAAGGACATGAAGAGCAGTGGGAGCAGACATTGTTCACAACTGAATGCTAGGGACTGTAATCAAATGGCTCTAAAGTAAATGCACTGTAAATGTGGAAAATAACAGGGTCAATTTCAGCAACATTTGTAGCTAATCGAGGTGGAGCTACTTTATGTTCCTGGGTAGTCTAATCTTTAAAATGTATAATATTGTAGTTGTTGATTGTAGGTTTCGTATATGTAATCAGATTCTGTAAATTGTAAAGGCAGTGTAGTAAAATGTAGAATATGTCTGAAATGTAGAGTAAATAGAAAATATGAAATATATAAGTAAAGCACAGCTATATTAAGTTAATAATAATAAACATCTACTAGACGGACTACAGGTTATCATCACCACCATGGGCTTCAGTGACATGCAGCAATATTACATTTGTTCGACTGTCTGTCATGGCAGACTGAGGCAACACTGGATGCAGCAGGAATGGCACCCCGGCCATACTGCTCATTGAGCGCTTGGAGCCGCAGGACGAGCTGCGGCTTTGATATAAATGGATTTCTCCACAGCCATCTGACCGTAATGCACCATTTAAAGGGGAGAATAAACCGAGGATCTTACTGGGCATCATGAGTCTATTATAATACTGTCACCCCTCACAGCTCTCCACACTATTATCCAGTTCCACTACCCAACCAGGATCAAAAAAGTGGAGGAAGTAAAGGTGAATGAGAGAGAGAGGAGGGTCAGTGGTGCAGTAGCAGGGTTCCCTTACAGGAATGTAAATGCCTGACCAGCTGTTATTTTCTTGGATTATGCCGTTTCTAATATGGTTTGTGGCATAGGTGTTTTGGGTTGCTGTGGTTGATGTTTTTCAGATCATTACAAGCATCATTAACTTATCTGGCGTAAAGTACTTACCCAACGGGGTGATAAATCTGGAACGTTAGGGATTAGGAATTTTGAAGGCTTTGCACGCATCAGTGTGGCGCAAGGCCGAGATTATCTCCCAGTCTTTTGGGGGATGTAAATTAAGCTCTAATATTTTTTTAAGACAATCAGTTTAGAAGGTCATTGTAAATGAAAACAAGACAAAGCATGCATTTTGATTGTGCCCCCCCCCCCCCCCCCCGGTGAATTTCATTAGTTGACTGTTTTTCCCCAATGAGAAGACTAAGAAAAGGATGGTTTCATTGGCTTCAAAGGGCTGAATAATTTGCGGACCCAGCTGGTCACTCACAGGGGAGAGAATTAAAGGCTAAAAATGGAAGCAATTTTCTTCCAAGATTAGCCTGTGAGGAAACTCAGAAAGATGAGTTTAATGAAGCATTATGTCACTACATTTATCTATTCAAATGTAGCTGTGGCTTCTTATTTAATCATCGTTAAAGTCTTTAAATGTGTGATTAACATACAGGCCTGCAATTACTTTGCAAAAGAGCAGAAAAAAAAGAAGAAAAACGAAATGATTCACTGAAAAAACAGTAATGCTGTGCTGATAATAAAAAGAAACATGGAGAATATGTAAACCTCATGTTCTGCTTCAGGATTCATTGTTTACTAAAGAGAGCCATCTACTGGAGAACTATTGGAACACATTTACATTAGCATGCTTGGATGAATAGATTTCTGTATTTCCAATAATATTTCTTCATAGAAAAATCACTATAGGAGCATTAAGTTAATACTTTCTGCAACACAATAGACATAATAGTACTTTCAATCAAGGTTTCATAGTCCTTGCCCCCCCCCTCCCATATCCATTGTCTTTATTTAGCCATTACTCAGACTCGAACCTTTGAATGAGGAGCTTTATGTTCTTGCAAGTCCATTAACTGATCCACAGTACCCTTGACTCCTGGTTTTTTTAATAAAATGAATAAATGAAGGATTGGCAGTTTGCAACAGCCGATGTGACAGCGAACAGTACTATGAAGGTCACTGGGATGGAAATGTGTTGCAACACACTTGGAACCTGGAAGTCATACGTTGTACACATCATCCAGTCCAAGTAATGGCCAATTTCATGTAATTTGTCAGAGCTTTCAAATGGTCAAGTCAGCAATCCCTTGTACTGCTATATGGCTTTCATCCATACAGCGTGCGATTCAACAGCCCTGATATTGATGGAGTTGGAGAGCACGAGGCCTGTAAAATGTTCAAAGTAAGACAACACATGGAGTCCTTGTGAGTCATACAATGTCACTCTCCCCGTCACAGTTCTTTGTCTTCAACTGTGAAGCTTATGAGAAAAAAAAGCAATTCATCACACATACTGTTGCCCCTCTTTTTCCCTCTGGCTCATTTCCCCGAAACGATTTTGGATCCAGTGCCAATGCAGTCGGTGATGTGTTTGGATAAAAATAAGCATCTTTTCAAGGTGATGATGACCCTCACAGAAAAGGAAGGGAAGCCTCTGAAATCCTATTATCCAGAGATATTTTATTGTGATCAGCAGTGCTGGCCCATCAGCAGCACAGCAACAGTTTCCAACAATTGCTCCTACACTAATTCTATCGTGGTTGCCAGACTTGCCCAGAGTGTGGACATTAAACTTAATTTTCATCTAAAAGTGATTGGGTAATGGCTGACAATGCAATTGCTGTAATGTGGGTGTACAGGTATAAATACCGGGATAAGAGAAAACTTTAACTTAATTTGTGTGAATCATAAAAAAGCAGCAAAAACCTTCATACAATTTAGACATGTAAAGGATGACCTCGTTTCGACAATTTCCACCAAAATACTTAAGAGTTTACATTTAAAGAGTAGATGCTTTTAAATATTAGTGACTGTTCAAGGTTGTGGACACACTGGTCATAGCTACAGCATATCTATGTACGAACAAAGAAAAATGGCAAATACACAAAATACATAAGACAGAACAGTAAAAGAGTGATTCATAATAAATATATCAGTCATTTGGATATGTTAAGTTAGTAGAGATCTGCTAAGTGATTAAAATAACTATGAAGGAGGATGATAAAGATACTATGGAATCTCCTTCAGGTGTTGTGGGTCAAATCTTCGAAAGTGTCCGTACAACCTACCCCTACAGTACAACCATCGTTCCTCCAACGTGCACACAAGGATTCTATTTACAAAATGACTCAATGTGTATGAGGCATTAGATTTAGTGTCGCGGTAAAATTTCCTCTTACGCTGCATGTAAAAACGATTTTTGAGTCACTAAATGTCATAGTGGAGTGGTGTAATACAGTGTCAGGCTGGGCAAAATGACTGCAATCACCTCTAAGAGTAGAGAATAGATTACCCTTGGAACAATTCACAAGGAACATGTAAAGAGGGTCTACTCAGTTGTCACTATGATAAAGATTCACATCTGCATAAGATATCGACTTAAAATCCAACATGGGGGTTGTCTTTTTCAGATGTAAGTACAGTTCATAGGTATGAAAACATGTCTTAAATTGTAACAAAAGAATTTGTGTTTAAATACAGTGAGAACAACTTCAAATCGGAGATAAATACCTTGTATGTGTGCACATACTTGGCCAATGAAGCTGATTTTGACTCAAGACAAAGTAATACAAAAGTGGCATTACTTTTGCAAATCGGCTTTTGAACTGCAACATTTTCTGCATACACAAAATATCACTAAATACATTTCTGCTTTCTCGACCGCTAAGAGCGTCAAATTATTCTGGAGGCACACTCTTTTGTCCCTGTAGACATGCTTATATAATATAATACAAGAAGATCACGCAGTACAGATATATGTTTAATTGAAATATGAAAAGTTTATTCATAGTATCAAACTGTTATGATTAAAAACCTTACAACTTGCTCCAGAAATTCTGCACGTTCAGTAATTTCTACTGAAGTGCTTGTTGACTTTGCAAACAGTCACATAGACAACTAAACTGATCAGAACAAACTGCTTCTGTTCCTTCATCCAGACAAGTTTCATCTTCACCTGGCCGTCTGAGTCCTGATAGTGCATCAGGAAGTGCTCACCATCATAGTCGTAGGAGACAGGAGTCTTCTCTTGCTCCATGGAAACAGGAGAGCCGACGCACCAGAAAGGTTTCTTGAATTCGTCCAGTAGAGTCAAACTCATGACGCAGCAGTTCTGGCAAGAAGTTGTGGAATAAACTAATGTCAGGATCTCTTTTCTGGACTACCATTGTTGTGAAGTCAGTGGGGTTCAAAACTGTCAAAATACATCCTGAATTGTATTCATTTTAACCAGGAGATAAGAGGGAATTATTCCAAAATCGGCTTTTTCAATAGATCTGTGAACATTAAAATAAAACCAGTATGTGGTTTGTTTACCATTAAGACAGTAATATACTTGAGATGTTTTGGGCATGCATTTCTTTCTTCATAAACCACATAGTGAAAATAGTGTAGTATTCAACTGCACATGGTGTACCTTCACTGCACCCTGCAGGGCCTCACACCTCCAGAGAAGGTTGATTCTGCTGGATAGAGGTATGTGCTGTGATAGGATTGTCCTGCTAATGGCAGTCAGCTGGATTAGGCCATCACAGATCTGAGCTGGTGAAAGACAACACGTGAATGTAAAACAATAGAAATCAGTGTTAGGTCACTTGATTAGCGAAGGCTAATACGTTCAGTCATTCAATCTATGAGCTATATAATGCTCTTCAAATACAATTAATGTATTACTGAACATAGCTAATAAAGGTTATCTTAAATTTCTAAATTTCAAAAGGTTTTATTTGTCACATGCTGCAATGTGTGTATTTCTACCCAAAAATGTACATATGTCAGAGTTGAAAGGCAAACTGTACAAATGTGTAAATGTGCAGGATGCTGCGAAGGATTCACAGAGGACAATGTGCTAGCTGGACGAGGCAGAGGATGTTGATGTCAAAGGTCACTGTCCTGATGGTCTGAGAACTTGTGGCTACGGAGGCATTATAACTATATGTAGTACAGTAGTATTAGCATTCCTCTAGAGATGACTGTACATATGAATCACACCTGCTCCAATTAGAAATAGTTATTAAATGACCCATTCAGCACAGAATACAGTGTGTCTTAGTAAATACGAGTATAAATAAATTACTTCTCCGGCAGAAAATCTCGGGGAAGCTTCCGGACACAATCTCACACGCCGTGTTGTGGAGAACGATGTGTAGGTGGTAACCATGGAGACCATATTCAGGGTCTATGTCATCAAAAGGGGATTTAATTATTGGCTCCACGTAGGGGCTGGAGGACGAAAAAGAAAGGGGGAAATGAAACTAAGACTGTGGAGATGAAGAAAACATTAAGAAAAAGGTATTTCATTAAGGAGGTATTTCAGAGGTTTATTACTCCTGTGGACTGGAATCATGATGTGCTGCAACATTCGTTCTCACATGACACCAGGAGAGGGGGCTATGTCCACACTATGCTGAGGTGTAGCACTGTCAAGAATGCTGTGTCGTCTTGCTGATGTATTGTCTCTCCTCTCAGATGATCAATGTAGCACCTTCAAGAGCATACAGCAAACTCCAGTACTAGATATCACATATGTTGGATTATTTATCCATTTATTTTTATTTTCAGATAGATGACCCTTTCAAATAATGCCCACTTGTGACTCCTCATTACAGGATTGTTAGAGGCCTAAGGGGTGAGAGTATACACTAACAACTTGTGTAAGTGGTGCCGACACAACGAGAACAAAATTCTATATACAATGTATATAGATATATCTATATATAATGAGGTACAGTCACAATATCCACTGGTGGTGAAATAGAGGTGCCAGTGATGCTGACTCTTCACGCCCTAACTCTCTGATGGTGATACACTGCACGCCATGTAAGCATGTGAATAAAAAGGTGCCGGTTCAAGTGCAGCCTACCAAACGGGAGATCCCTGGATGCTTCTTTCCACCAGCCTGTGGAAGTGAAGGATGAACATGACAAAGGCAACTGAGGACTGGTCCTGCAAAGAGAGCCATCACTTCAATTTCAGGTAAATTCACAACCCGTCTAATTGTTCCAGCTACTAAAAGCTAACGAACAATTATTTTAAAAAATGCCATAGCTGCCTGTGAAGTAATTACCCTCCAGACACCGATGATGATGCCAGGCTGTAGCAGCTTCAGTTCAACAAGTCTGTCCTGGCCAATGACCTGCGCGCCTTCAGTTAGAGCCTGCGTGTCCGACTTCGCCATGAGGGACCTCCAGCCAGGCCTGACAGAGAAAACGGATGGATTCAGTGAGAGAAAAGAGGAAGCAGAGACATAGAGGGAGAGAGAGAGAGAGAGAGAGATGGAGATAGACGTCGACTGTCTCACTTCTTCAGGTCGGGGCAGTTGAGAGCTATCCTCCTGACACCGTGGAGTTGAAGGGTGGAAATCTGCTGGTAGTTGGGCAAGCAGCCTCCTCCGCTCCAGCACAGAGTCACAGAAGTCTCGCAGAACTGGGACCAGCTCAGTTCATGTGTGCACTCGTGCCCTGACTTATCAGACACCGTCAGCTGCCAGGAGACGTGCAAGTTTCTAGAATGAGATAACACGACACAGGATTATAGCAAAGAAGAGATGACAGATATTTCACAACAACAGCATGTACAATTATTTATACTGTATTCAGTATAGCACGGCAAGGGAGACCTGACATCTGAAATTAGCAGGCTTCGGACATTATAAAGTGGGAAATAACTCACTTAACATAGACATACTCACTTAATGAAATATGCAGCGAATGAAATGAAAGCGCAGCTGTTGTGATAAATCTCTTGATCCAGTTCTGTCTGAAATGTGATTCAGTGCTGCCCCGACTGTGATGCAGCCGGTGTTTTGCTTAGGCACCATCCAATATCAATTAAGTGGAGGAAAAAAAGCTGAAAACTGGAGCAGCCCAGGAGGCCTCGGATGACCCAGGGGAGTTTCGCTCTGCATCGTCTGTGTGTGTGATGTCTTGTGAAATGATGATTACCAAGGTAAATCTCAATGCTCCTCAGTGTCTCTAACAGACAAACTCACAGGGAATTGTCTGAGTTGGTGGCGTGTGTGGGTGTGTGTGTGTGTGTCTGTTGTGGATGACGAGTTTGGGCCCCCCCCCCCCCATCTACAAGGAACACAATTATTTCTACTTCCCCTCTGTACCAGAGCGACTGCCACAGAACTCAAAATTGAGTGCTGCACAGCCTCTAATCAGAGGTTATAAAAACACAGCAGAAACCACGATGAGGGAGCTTTCCCCTGCGTGCTGGCATCCCCCTGAGCAGACATCTCGCTCAGACAGAGACCTCCTTTCTCACCTTCAATAAGAAAGTATCATTAAGTGCGATATGAAAAACAAACCATTTGATAGCTGGCGGCTTGAACTGTCCTCTAGTCTCTACCTTTGATCCGTCTTGACAGGGTGGATCTCCAAAGTTTCACTGTTTGCTAACCACAAACAAGGCAAGGGGTTCCCATGACACCTCACAGAGCCGCTTCCAATTGCAAAACAGCAAGACGTAGCAAACAGATGGCAGATTACGGCATGGTAAACACAGTGTGATCAACACAACTCCTGTTGGCTGAACTAAAGTAAAGCAGCACACTGGAAAATATTAAACCAAATGAAAAGGATTCCCTGAGAAATAACGAGATCTTTTTTTTCCTCACCTCAGTAGCTAAGGGACTCAAATGCTTGAAAACACACGGTACGCACTCATTTAAGCTTAATTCACAAACAACGCTTGACAGGCTACTCAAGCGTCTGGTAAGTGAAATCAAGTGCCTGGTAGATATAACAGACCGTACACCTCAGGTACTCCATCTTAGTGGTTTTCATAAGCAGTGCCTGCCTCTCTCCATCTCTTACCTGAGGACCAGCTCTGTTTGGCGGGGCAGCCCAGTGTGACGGCTGATGAGACCAAGATGACTTTTCCACTTGTTCATGTCATATGCGGCTACGGTTTTGAAGTGCAGCCGCTTCCAGTAGCCCGCAGGCCGATCGTGCACCTCCGTTGCGGCCATCTTCTGCAGCGGCTCGTCCATGCACTTGGGTTTCCACTTTTTATTCATTTTATTCAGCTCTGCAATGTATATCTTGTTCCACAGAGCACTGCATTGGTGGTATTGTAAGGTATAGATAGGGGAGAGGTCGCTGTGAGTGAGGACAACTTAAAAAGCTTAAAACACAAAATATGTATTTATATGAAATAATGACTGATATGCTTTGTTGTCACAGGTCTGCCATTCTAAGATGACTTCTCTGACTTGTTCTTGAATGCAAATGTTCTTCTGTTTGTGTCTTGGTAGAGAAAGATGATGCGTTCTGATAAAAGTTTAATTTCCTGTTAAAAGTGCTACTCGAAGGTGGAATTTCTTACTATATGTATAATTAAGGTTTCATGAAAACGATGCTTTGAAAAGTTAAATATGATTTTGTATGTTTTTTTTTAAGCCATAAAAGCAGAAATTCACCGAAAAGTAGGCGTTTTGAGCAATGCCCAGAAAAACATTGCGTCACATGACATCACATGAGGAGGTTGGTTTCCTCACAGCTCAGTGTGCAGTGGCAGGTGGTAGTGGCTCTTTTTTCCACTGGTTTTAGTTTGCATGGCTCCATTTGCCATCATGGTGAATTACTGTGTTTGTGCAGGCTGCACAAAATTGCAACCTGTCAGGACATATAGACATCAGTTTCTGTTGTATCATTACTCATGTCAGTTTTATACAGTTACTACTATATTTGGTACTGCCTGATATGTGACAGCAAAATTTATGCCTTGTGCAGTGCCATTGTGCAGTGAAACAACACAGCGTTAAGGGTCACTAATACCTAATCACACTCTTCCTTATGAGATGTCATGTCCAAGTTGTCTGTTTTGAGGTGAAAATGGAAACTGCTTTACAAAAACAAGTCTGGATGTCTCTGAACAGTACAGAATATATAAAATCCAGTTCTCCCAGGCACCAACGTTAAAGGTTGCCAGATCTCCCGTCTACAAGAGAGCTGTCGCGTTGCAAAACAGATCTCCATCTAATTAAGTCATTTCTGTCTAATCTCAGTCCTAAAAATAATCATTAAAAAAGTGACATAATCTACAGAAGCAGTGAGTATTCTTCAACTTATTTCCAGTGAAGTAGATTTCTTTTTTTAAAGATTTTTTAGACATGTGTGTATTTTTCCTGATGTTTTTAATGTACTGCGTATGTTGCATTAACAGGACCTGGCTGGTTACTTACTCATCATTGGCAAGCTGGTAGAAGGGCCTATTGACGTGGCTGATGCTGAAAAGAGTGGAGGCATCTAGGTATGACAGAATCTTCATCAGGGTCTCAGATGGCAGTCTAAGGAAAACGGTAGTTAGACGTCACAACAAGGAAGTGACACCGGTGTTTTCATGCCACCTGTTGTTCAGCATGCAGCTCTTTAGAGGCTTCGGTGAATGAGACGAATGAGCTCTCGGGCAGGCTACTTGGCGACTTGAAATGACCCATGTCTGTGTTCTCATTCAGTAGATTAACTTCAGAATTCATTGTTATTTAAAGTGCTCATAAAAAAAAAAATACACCTAGATCACAAAACAACAGAAGAGGGAGTTATACCCTTTACACATTTGTTCGCAGAAAATTCTGGCACCAGAAAAAAGACCCATCTCAAGCTGCAGGAAGTGAAGAATTAACGTGTGAGTGAGATCCAATCTCCAATCACAAGAGACCAATGTTAGATATTTGATCTTTCTTGGTTTGAGTACATTTGTTTCTTTTGAAAAAAATGTATTTTTCCATATCTGTTAATGAGAAATATTGGTGTGGTTTGTCTGGTCGCACCTGTCCTGGTTAATGGTGCCAAGGCCGTCCAATTCAGTCTCTTGAGTAAGTCATCTATTCGTGTTCACATTACGTGCCTGGTCAATCACCGGCATTTCACTGCACATCAAACAACAACCAGATGAAACAATTTCTGAAATGAGACACAAAATGAATAAATCATGTTTGGTGTCTAATGGAGCTTTAAAAAAATCTGTCAAATGGCTGTCAACATAGAGATATTTGTTTGACTATTTGTTAGCATTACTGATGGTGTGAAAATGTAGAAGAGTTGATGGCAAGCACCACAAATCACAAGTTACAAAGTATCCACAATTTTATGTCAGTTTTGACATAAAGACAGCACTGTGTTTATCTTAATGGCATTACACCCGTGTTTGACACATATTAAAGAACAGGAAACACAGTTGCAGAGATTATGCTAAATGTCTACTGTCTGTGAGTCCCATGCCTTATATATTTACTACATCCAATGGAGAAGTCAAGTGTCTTCCACCCGTATTGATTTTTTTTGCTGTGCTTTGATTGTGTTTTAGTGCAAACACGGTCAATAAATCCTTTTTCTTGCAGGGCAATAAAGCCTTGACTTGCCACAGATTGTGAACACCAGCTGGCTGAAGTGTTGAATGACACGCAGGTGGAAAATATGAGCATGTTTTGATTGATTACCTTTCCATAAAGTTCAGAGTGGACGCTGGAGACGATTTGTCAGCTCTTTTGGACGTCCTCAATGCCCGCATTCTGGAAGTAACTGCTTTTGTTGCCGCCATATGTTTTACTGGTCTTGACCTCTTTGAGTCAGATACAAGAATTTATATTTGGTAGGAAGTTGAGGCCATGAAGCCACGTTTAGTTTGACAGAGTTTTTAGCTTAACGTGAGGATATCGAATGAAAACCCCGTTAAGTTAGCAAAACAAAGAGCGTCTGTTCTCAGTTTGTGTAGCCAAAGAATAACGTGAAACATCCATACTTCCGCATTGTCCGCCTCCAGTCGCCATGGTTACGTCCAGTCAAAGTTCCTTCCACGTGCAACAATTAATCATCCGGCGGAGAGTGGCGATATTTGCCTTCAAAATAAAAGCGGATAAACTGTATATTCCCATCATAAACTATACTGTTATATTGTAATGGAGCAGCCTACATACAGTATGTGATTGAAACAAATTAATTTGAAATAATCTTGGACTTAGTTTACCAATTGTCGTTGTGCAAAAGTCATATTTAGAGGTACACTCTGATGACACCTCTGATGACATAATTAGGGTTATTTTCTGGTATTTAAAGATATGAAAATATTAAAAATTAAAACGACTCCATGACTGTCATCCTCCTGTTGCAACACAACAACAACAGTGTAACATGTGATTTCCAAACAAATTCACCAAAATAGATACTCAGAGAAGAACAAAAGTTCAGTTTCACATGACATTGGAATATATTGTTAGCATACATAGATGTACTTTGACACACGCGCAAGCACACACACACACACACACACACAAACACTGCACTTTATTTGCCTGTAGGCTCAACCCTAATCACAATGTGCCTAACCCTAACTTAGGTCTAACCCTCTAAAATGTTATGGTTTAGCCTCAGGAAACCTTCCTTTAGTCTTCAAATGAAACAGACGTTGGTCTGAACACACACACACATATTTACACGATATTTCATGTGTAATATTTGTAACAGGAGGACAAACTGTAATAGGTTATAACAGCGAGATCATATAACAAATTACTTTTGTATTAAGCAAATCCTGAGATGAATTCTGCTGCTATAATGTGCTATATGTGTAATCTGTAAAGAAAAACACACACACAAAAAACCTACTGCAGTCGTTTTCTTTGTAAAAGCAGATGGCTCACTTTAAGACCCACCACATAATCGACCTCCCCGTTCCTGGAAGCCAGTAGGCTTTGCTAGCTGTCAGGGAAAATAACCATAACACTCTTGTCAGTCCAGCCGATAAGCTTGCCTGATGGAAGTGAAGACCCTTTTAGGGCAACGGCAGCCCCTGGTACGGCAATGCCATGTAGGCTACATCCCTTTCCCTTGCATGTCCCCCGTACTTGACATTTGATGATTTCTGTAGCTATGTGTCCTTCTGAAGGCCTGGGGTCAGCTGTGGCTCCTGGATACCTGATGTCAGTCTTCCGCATGGCTTGTCAGCCAGCTCTGACAGTGCAATGTTCGTCAAATGGGGCTGAGAAAGGGAGGAAGGATCACCACAATTAGGTCTAAAATTGGGTCTCTGCAAGTTGTATATCATTAAACAGGTATGTTGCATGTACTTCTTAGGCGCCTCATATTGTGTGATTCAAGGCGTTTAATGCTTATTAATAGAACAATCCAAACCTTTAAGGAATGATTGGGTTTTTGCCCTCCTCTCCGCCTATCCAATTGCTTGCATGTATTTAAAATGCAGCTCGGATGAATTATGTCAAAAGAAAGCAGACTTTACTCCCACTATTTTCTTGAGCCGATGAAGCTGAAAACAGTCTATATACAGTGCCTTCTATTGCAGATATGAGTGCCATGCATAATGTAGCCAGTTAGCCTATCTTTACATCAGTAAATGACAGCTCATTAAAAGGTCTAACGTGAGGGTTCACCACGTATGAGGCCCACTCTTAGACTCTTCAGAGGTGGGGAGCACTGATAGGGACCCTCTACACGGCTCTTCAAAGGATGAAGACTTGTCAAGAACTGAAAAGAAAGGCCAAGGGTGGTACAGAGAGGTGCTGGACATTCTCTGTGAAGTGGGCATTTTCTGAAGTGTTACCTTCTTTTAACCAACTTATGCAGTGTTTGTAAAACGTGATGTGTATGTGAAATGATTTGCTGATATGCAAGTACACACCAAGGAATGAACCATGCCGGCCAGATCCCACATACGTTTGTTATTCACACTAGTGCTTAGATATCTGCAGATGTTACATCCGCCACTGGATGGCGCACAAGTATCTTTATTGGACTCATAAAATCACTTGTTTAAGTCTCAAATTAGTAACATACAGCCTACATGCATGCTAAATGTGCCATGCAACGACAAGGTTATCCGCTGCAACCCGCATTTGTTTCAAATCAATCAGGGAGAGACATGAAAAATTCACAGCATATAAATGACAGACATTGACATGACAGCAAGTGATCTCTGCCTTCCCGAGGGGCCTTTGAGCTCACAACATCCAACTGATTAATATGTAAACAAACCCGTTAGTCCACACATGTGCTCTTAATTGCGGGATACTTCTGCGGAGTCTTGTTGCAGTGGCTATACACAGAGAATGGGCGTGAGTTGTCCCTCGAAAGGGAGCCCAGAGACTCTTGCTTGTTTAGCACCACCGATCTGAGCGCTCAGTTCACAGTCTGCGAGAGACAGAGAGCATACCAGCGGGATGGATTGCACAGGTAGGTCGTGATTTACCTTTTTTCTCAATAGAAATGGCCGAAAAGTGCTTGTTTCACCATAATTACCAATTACAACACGAGGAAAAGATACCCAACATCATTTTCATTCGACACTATAATTTGTTACTAAGTGGTGTGGCGCGCAGTTATAGGAAACAACCCGCAGTAGCACACTTGGCTTGGTCAATAACGGACAAATAGAAAATGTGTATGAATACGCGATCTTTAGATGTCATTTACTGAGAGCTATTGCGTTTTTTTTCCCGCACGATAGCCATTTTACGCACACAGGATAAACTCAAGTTTCAACACTAAACTATTTGAAATTGTTTTCCTACTGCTGTCTGATACAAACATTTTCAATTTATCTCAGGATTTCAAACAACAGTTGTCTGAATACTCTCCCAAAATCATCTAAGACGCCCAGGAGGGAGGGGAGTTACCGCCGGAGAGAGTCGGAGTGCGTCTGTGTGTCAGAGGTTCTTTGAGAAAGCCAGGGAGCATCACAGATAGAGGAAGAGAGAGAGAGAAGGGGCGAGAAGATATCAAGTCTGGACCAGGTGATCGAGTACTAACAAACCTCCAAGGGGCTGCCTGGTTGTATCAGTGAGCACGGGATCAGCGATCCAACCATGGTGCCCGCGCGCTGCCCGGGACCCTGTGCCGTACTGGCACTGGTCCTCCTCTTGGGATGCGGCGTGGTTTTCAGCCTCGGCCAGAATGACACGGAGCCCATCGTACTCGAAGGAAAATGTCTTGTGGTGTGCGACTCGAACCCTTCCTCGGACGGAGGGGTCACCTCCTCACTTGGCATATCAGTCCGCTCCGCTGGGGCAAAAGTGGCTTTTTCCGCCGTGCGTGGAACCAACCATGAGCCGTCAGAGATGAGCAACACGTCTATGACCATCTACTTTGACCAGGTCAGATGTTCACTGAATTTAGCACAGTTATACAGCAGTCTACTATTGATAGGGCAAATATCATAGCTCCAAAAACAGTTTCTCTTTTTCTCCCCTCTCTCTACAATATACATGCTATATTGCCGTGGGCGAGCAGAACTTGTTTTAAGGTCATGTTTCATTGATTTCCTATTACTGCACTCACTCTTTGTGATCTGATCCCTGCGTATCTCTAACTTTACGAGCACAATGCTGTTTCCTTTGAAAATGGTTAATTTAATGCTGTGCGTAATTGCTGTGATTCAGGGATGCGCTGTCAAAACGAATGATCGTCTATGCAGGATCATTGATCACATGCATCTTAGGCCTCAGCCGGATTGACGTGTGCATTGTGTTGCTTTTGCTGGGATGTTCCACTTAGTTGCCTTTGGACAGCGGCCTGTTATACGCATCAAAATGGGAACCATCCCAAACTGCGACTGAAGCGCAGCCTTAAAACATTTGGCATACCAGACTGATACGCCTCCCTGTAGTCACTATGCGTGGCAAAAGCAAACAATTACATTACTAAAACCAGCTGTTGTGTTCAGTGAAGCATGCAGGTGGAAAATAAATAAAGCCTTGTCTCTTTTTGCGCCCTTCTTGGTCACAGGTTTTAGTGAACATCGGCAACCATTTCGATCTCAAAGCAAGTGTTTTCCTGGCTCCAAGGAGGGGGATATATAGTTTCAGCTTTCACGTGGTGAAGGTCTACAACAGACAAACCATACAGGTGAGCAATTAATTAAGCAGTTCGTCTGCGGTCAGCATTCAATAGAGAACTAAGCATGATACCGAACTCTCCCCTCTCCTGCAGGTGAACCTGCTGCAGAATGATTATCCAGTTATATCAGCATTCGCCGGTGACCAGGACGTTACGAGAGAGGCGGCCAGCAACGGAGTACTGCTGATGGTTGAACGGGAGGACCGCGTCTCTCTGAAGCTGGAACGGGGCACCTTAATGGGCGGATGGAAATACTCCACCTTCTCAGGCTTTCTAGTCTTTCCTCTATAATCTAATCTGCGATGATCCACGTCGCACGAGACTCTGCTAAGGTTGAGGAACAA